ATACTCTGATAAAATTTTTTTTAACATAAACAGTAATGAGGGCAGGCTTGCCTTTACAGATAATAAAATTATGATAAGTCCAAAAAAAAAAAAGAAAGATGAAGGAAGTCTTCTTCTAAAAAAAGAAAGAAAATGAAACTGAATATTGTCTTTCCATCACTGCCTGTGGATTAAGGACAGTTCTAAAGAGATGTGTTAGACTGCATCTGTCCCACTTGGGTGAACAGGGCTAAGCTACCACCAACGATTATGGGAATCGATCCAGGGAAGCACAGATTCCTGGCACAAGGCCTGATTTTGACACACACTCCTCCTCCACCCCCAACAGTCCCAGAACCCCCAGGAACAGAGATGAACCAGAAAAAAGCCATCTCGGTTATGAAGAGTGAGAGGGTAGGAGGCAAAATAGAATCACAGCATGTCAGGGTTACAGAGACCTCACTCAGAGAGGACATGTGACTTCTCCAAACTCATAAAGTCAGTGAGAGGCCAGCCAGGCCAGCCTGGAACTTGGGACTCCCCTTCCCCTTTCTCTCAACTCCCTAACAACAGCAACAACAACTTAAGTGTTTAAGAGGCTCCTTAAAGAGCTGCTCCTCTCCTTGATAAATTTCAGGATGGGAATTGGATGCCAAGATACAGATGTAGGAGGAAAGCCTCAGTGATAGGACCCCCCACAATGCATGACATCACTGGAGGGAGCCAGATTAACAGCACCAAGACCTCCCTCTCTGCCAAGAAGGAGTATGGGGATCATAAACAGTCTTTTCCATGGAACAAAGCCTTTTAGTAGCCTGCTACAGCTGACCAAATCCGAGATGAGTCACAGCCCCGGCTCAACTGGGAGATGGGCCCTGCTGCCCTGGCCCCAGCTTCCTCCTCACGTTGCAATCTCCCACTTGCTGGACACGAGCAGCCCTGGTTGGACCTTTCTCAGGGCCATGGGAGGTGAGGGACATCTAAGACAAGAGGTATGAGGCTTGATAGGAGAGATTCACTTTTGAGTGCATGTATTAGGTGGCGCCAATGGTAAAGAACCTGCCTGCCAGTGCAGGAAACATAAAAGATGCAGGTTCGATTCTTAGGTCGAGAAGATCCCCTGGAGGAGGGCATGGCAACCCATTCCAGTATTCTTGCCTGGAGAATCCCATGGACAGAGGAGCTTGGAAGGCTATGGTCCACAGGGTCGCAAAGAGTCGGACATGACTGCAGCAACTTAGCACACATACACTCAAATAAAGGTGAGCCCCATTTCAGAGAGATCTACAAAACTGGGGATACAGAAAAGGCTAATAAGGAGTTCTAGGCATGTGAGGACAGGTTATTCTGCTTTATTACAAGATTCCCCCACAGAGTTGGGTAGGGTTACGGCTGTCCTGGGTCTATGCTGACACGCTCAACAGCACGGGTCCACATTCCAACCCATGGCTGCGGGATTAGGGACAGCCTTCTCCATTCACAACAGCCACGTGTGAGTCACCTAGCTGGCATAGTGGAAAATGGCACAGTCAGGGCCTAAAATCTATGGGGACATGGGCTTGAGGGCAGGGACAGGGGACAGGGCCTATACTACTGTTCTGAAGGTGAGTTCACTGAAGAGGTCTGTATAGTACCTCTTCAGTATAGAACTATAGTAGCTATGTTTTCTTAGGTCTCCTCTACTGCTGTTCATTGTGGCAATAAAATTATTCAAAAGATATCATACGTAGAGAATGTGTTCACAGAGATCGATCCATCTTCCTGCTGTCCTCCTCTAGCTTTGCTTCTGGAAAGCGACCCTAAACTCAAATGTCATTCACTAGTTTACTCTGAATCTCCTAAACTTTGTAGGCCTCAACATTCTCATCTGCAAAATGGGAATAACAATGCTTGCAATGTTAGTAGAAGGACCAAAGATAATGTTCATGAAGCCCCTCGGTACCTAGAACACAGTGGGGCCTCAAAGGCTAGAGATTCTCATTATTTTCCAGCTATAGGGTGTAGGTGTGGGGTGGCTGTGAGAGACAGGAGTTCTGAATGATACAGGAGCTCATCTTGAAACAAAAAGGAGCTAAAGAAGGAAAGTTCTAGGGGCTGGGCCATTTCAAATGAAGCACTGTGTTTGGGAAGCAATAACAAGTGAAAGGGATAGTAACAGTTGCCAAAACTTATTTCATAGCATAGTCTCAGGAGAAAAGTTCTGAGAAAACTGCTAACAAGTGAATATGCTACATCGTATGTTCTAATGTGCCTGGGAACACGTGAGATTATGAAAAAGCAAGTGATCCTTTGTTTCAGACTCACTATGGAAAGGCATGAATTACAGATGTTATTACACAATCATAAACATAAAAAAGTAAGAGAAGGAATTTGAAACTCATGTAGTCCAACTTCCCATGTTACAGATGGACCGCCACCTCTCAGTGAGGGGCCTGCCTCTCTGGTCATCTGAAGTGATGCAGCTGCCAGGGTCTGATGGGGGAGTTTGGGAACACTTCTCCCTGGAGACACTGGCCTGGCTGACACTGGCTGACCCTGTCCTGAGGTTTTTAGAGGTGCTTTTCAGGGCACTTTGAGCATGTTAACAGGGTAAGATTTTCAGTAGACACTTTCTCTTCCATGGTATGAGTTCCACTGAGTGATTCGTTAAACGGAAAACATTTAAACTGTGCCAGTTCCACCCTGCACATGCATATGCTGTTCTTATATTCCAGTGTGTTTTTCCATCTCATGGAATGCACAACATCTGGAGAAAAGAGATTCTTCCCCTCCCTCTTACATTAACTAACAGTCTAGCCAGGTGTGAGAGTGTTTCCAGACCTTAGAGATTATTGTGTCTTTTTTTGTCATGTTAATAAGGCACATAATACAAATGTATTTGCAACCCAATAAAATATCCCATCCTGCTTTTAGAATAAAATAAGCAATAAAAATATCTCTTGAATGCTCATGTTCTAGCTAGGATAATACACTTGGAAGTTTAACTGGCAATTCAAGGCCATTTGTAATTAAATGCTCTAGAAATGCAGGGGCAAAGATGGTTGCCATTTAACATGGTCCGAGAAGGCCTCAGTGGAGCAGCCAGTGTAGGGGCTGACCCTGGAGGGATGTGTGATGTTACTGCTGTGAGCCCTTGAAGGGCAGGAACCAGGGCTCATCATCTATGTATCTAAAGGAAACATGTCTCTAGGACCCGTGATACTTGGCAATTAATGCTTGTTGAACTGACTTAATTGACAGCTAGAGATAACAGCGGAGAATTTTCCAGGCAGGGGTAACAACACGAACAAACCCACGAGGTATAGAGAAGCCTTCTGTGTTAGGGAACCCCAAGAAGAGTCCAGTTGCAGGAAGGCTTCCTGGTGGGAAATTCTGAGCATGACAATGGCCCAGGTTGGATGGGCCCACAGAAGCCAAGATAAAAGGACTCTATCTTACCCAAGACAACGAGAAGTCACAGAATTTTTTTAGTCAGGGAGTAAAGAGTATGAAAATTAACCAGAAATTCCCTGGTGGCTCTGATTGTAAAGAATCTGCCTGCAGGGCCGGAGACCCAGGTTTGATCTCTGGGTCACGATGATCCCTTGGAGAAGGGAAAGACAACCCACTCCAGTATTCCTGTCTGGAGAACTCCATGGAGAGAGGAACCTTGTGGGCTAAAGTCAATGGGATCACAAAAGATACAACTGAATGACAGAAACTTTCAATTTCACAATGAACAGAGAAATAAAAGTAGGTAACCTTTAAGTTTTGCATCCACCAAAGTGGACATCCTGGGTTCCAGTCCCAGCCGTCACTTCCAAGCTGGGAAATCTTGAGCTTAATTTTTCTAAGCCTCAGCTGTCTCATATGTGACTTAGAAATAATAATAAGACCTACCACACAGAATTATGGTCAGAACTAAATGAGATAATTCACGAGCAGTGCAGTAAGTACAATGCCTGGGGCATGGTAAGCTCTCAATTAATTCACAGCTAAAGAAAATGCCTCTCAAAGCAAGCAAAGACCTGCCATTTTCCAACTCACTGACGGTGATTCACTAATCCACTGTTCATGCAGGCTGCACAGTATACACTGTATGGTTAAAACAGTAATGTATATTTTATCCTTTATGATTGCCCAACTATATAATTCTTTCACATTCCAGCTATGCAATCTGTTAGGCAGCTGAAACAGTGAATTCAATTCTTGCATCATCTCACCCTTATTCTCACCACCCCAACCAGCTGCTGCCAGGACTGAATTGAAAAGAACTATAAAACTCTTAAAGAAAGTCTCCAAATTCAAATATCCCTTCTTTGCTGGCTCCAAGGATTAGCCTTTACTCAGTGGCATCAAGCTCACAGCCTCCCAACGTGACTTGGCAGGAGCACAGAGTGGCTCACAATTCAATACGGGCTCAAGCACTGTCTAAAAACTAAGAATTACATAGGACATCTTGCATATAAAACTACCATGATTTCAAATTCTTTTCTGATTAATAAATTACAAACTTACTGTCAAATATTACTGATTCATAGCAACATTTGTCATATATTTTCTTAATCCACAGATGCTAAATCTAGTGCTACTCCCCTGTGAAAACTTTAATATCTCTTGACATTTTAAAGCAAACTCCCTGAGTGTGTTTGTCATGAAAAAACACCGAAATGACAAGAAAAAAGTTATTAATCACCTGTCTTGGGTACTGTGAAGCTGTGTGTCTAAGTCCAGGATAATAAATGCCTTGGAAAGAACCCAGTGATTGAAGTTATTAAAATAAGCAGAAAGGTGTTGGAAACAGCCCATCCCCTCGACTCCAAGATCCAGGTGGAGATTTTCAACAGCAAGAAAAATGTGAGATAGAAGAAGTTTGCTTCCCCTCTCCTGCCCCGAACCCCTCCCCCAGAGATGTCAGTACACAGAGAGACTGGCTGTCTCTATATACAGCAATACAGAGCTTTTATCCAAAGAGGAATCAGCCAAGAATATAGCAGAATGCAAACAAGGGATGCATTTACCGTGCCTCCAGTGGTTCTTACCTGTCCTGCCGTTCAGAAGAATGGGCTTGCCCTCGAGGTCTCCCCTCATGGGGATGACTGTGATCTTATATTCCGTCCCCGGCTGCAGACCTGGAAACAAGTAGTCAATGCCAGTTTGCCTAGGGGCTCTGGACCCTGGAGCCCCAGCACTGCTCTCCTGGGGATTCGGGAGGGCGAGGGGCGGGGCTGTGGGTCTCCCCTCCAAACTACATTCTACCTAAGGCAGCTGAAGAGCTGCAGGACCCGTGGAACATGAGGCATCACTGAGGAGCTTACGGGCCAGAATGGACGAGATGAATCTGATGAGGCTCTGGTTTCTTCCTTGGGCCATTAAGCACATATTTCCCAATTGTATTTATAGCCCCAATGTTTTTTTGCTCCCGACAATCATTTTCCCTCAAACGTTTCTTTCCTTCCCACTGTAATAATTCACTTAACTTGTTCCTCTTTATTTTCTTTTTCGCCTTCACTTTACTTGGCCTTTTCTGTTTCTTTTTTGTTCTTAACTTTTGTGGTTTCTCTGTAGCGGCCACCTGAATGCTTGTTCCTTATTGCACAAAACTTCAGACTTTGGTGACAAAATGCAGGCAAATGGTAGCATGTATGAGGCACACTCCACAAAACATTGAGAACCCCAAGATGACCACTAAAGACAGAAATCAGAGGGTGGAGGGCAGGACAAAGCCCCAGAGGAGGACGTACCAAGGGGCTGGTAAGCCTCAGGGCCCCTCACTTGCACCAGCCCCTTCCAAGGCCATGTGCTTGGGCATTGATGCTTATGTGTTACTTTTCTTAAAGAGGTCCTGAAAACTGTGCAAGCATCAGGTGCCACAAAACATTACCCAGCCCTGCATGGCCCCACTGTGTTTGCAGCCATCTGATTTCCAGTCTTCCAGTGTTTGGTCAGTCACCTGGGATGAGGAATGCCCCACTCCTGGCCACCTAGCTCAACTCCTTCCACATCCACATTATGGCGTTGAACAAACCAACTTCAACCAACTTCTCAATGTCTCTCTCTCCCCCATGTCACATACACATACACACATATACACACACACTTAGTTCTTCCAAAAAGAAAGCCTGTCTGCCATCAAATCCCCTCTGAGACGCAGAGGCTTCCAGAAGGTTAGCTGACTTGGAAGAACATTTCAGAGGTATAATCTGCTACCCAGGTGCTTCGAGATCCTGGAGTCAGCCCTGGGATGCTGGAGCAGAGTCTTCAGGCCCCTCAGAGTGGGCTGACCTCTGAGCTTGGAGTCAGGGTTCAGGTGATTCTCAAGGCCTCAGAAGCCTCTGGGCGCAGCTGAGAGCTGTAGCTGCTGGTCCCCAGGGCTCACACAGTCCCCACCTCAGCATCCACACCGAGCATCTTGCATCCCCAGTGCTGGCTCTTACCTGTGATGTCGTATTGGCTCTTGGGGTCACCACTCTTGGGCACGGTGACCTCGGCCACCTCGTGCCCTGTCAGGGGGCCATACTGCAACCTGTAGTAGTCCACCTCAGTCGGGGGGTTCTCCCATTCCACGTCAAGGGAGTTCTCCGTCTCATCCGTCACCCAGGCAGTGCCAGGCACAGCAAGATCTAGTGCAAGGGTCAGGGAGGGCAAGAGAAAGCGGTGAAGACGAGGGGGGCTTTGGGGGCAAGTCACACTGCTCTGAACTGAACATTCACCCTTTAGCTCTTCGGAGACGCAGCCCCATGACAAGACTCTCAAGGCCCCTCCATGAAGAGTTTGGGAAATATATTTCAAATTTTCTGGAATGCAACACTGGTGATAAAACCTGCTCCTTCCTCAGTCTCCCAAATTACAGTTGCTTCCTCTTCTCTCAAATTCTCTTGTAAGATTTACCCCTAGGCAAAAGTGTAAAGTAGCAGAATTTTAACTTGGTTCTTTGAAGGATTCTTCCTGCACTTTCTACCAAATTTTACCTGATACCTGATATCCTCAGATACCTGATACCTGATATCCTCAGCTGCTCTAACTCTTGATCCTGTGAAGGAAGAAAGTTACTGTGCATACTTCTTCATGCCCTATTGGCTGAGTCGGTAAAGAATCCGCCTGCAATTCAGGAGTTCAGTCGTTAAGTTGTGTCCAACTCTTTGAAACCCCATGGACTGTAGCCCATCAAGCTCCTCTGTCCATGGGATTTTCCAGGCAAGAATACTGGAGTGGATGGCCATTTCCTTCTCCAATGCAACGCAGGAGACTGGAGTTCAATCCCTGAGTCGGGAAGATCCCCTGGAGAAGGAACTGGACAGCCACTCCAGTATTCTTGCCTGGTAAGTTCCATGGACAGAGGAGATAAGCAAGTTACAGTCCATGGGGTTGCAAGAGCTGGACATGACTGAGCAACTAAACCATACCACTGCCACACGAAGTATTAATGGCTAAATGTTCACCCATCCACTCAGAAGAAAATGAAAATATGATGCCTGTTACCAAGGAACAGATTGCTGGTGTGGCTCTGTGGGAAGGACTTTTGGGTGCTGGTGTTAGAGAGGGGTCTGGGGTCTCTGGGAGTGCTTGAATTCCAATGGCCGCCTCCCAGGCCAGTGTCGCCTGGCCTGAAGTTTGGAACAGGAAAGACAAGCCCCAGACTCTCAGCCTCGCCCCCTTCCTCACCTCCCACGCCTTGGTTCTGAAGGTGTTCCCACCAGGCTGACTGGCCCTTTGTCAAGGACACAGAACAGAGAATTTGTGCATCAGTCAAGGGGCAAACTCTCAAGGCCTGTGGCTCTGAATGTTTCTGAATCTCTCTGTTAGGATATAGAGTTTCACGGAGCCTTTTCCCTGAAGCACTCCCTCCTAAGCTCTGCCTTTCACCTGCGAGCCTCCAGGTTCCTCCCTCAAAGATGGCAATTCCTTGAGGGAACAAGTCAAGAGGTGAATAATGAAAATGACTCGAGGGTTACAGAAGGGGCACGACATGGCTCACAAGTGAAAAAGCAGGAACTTCATGAAAAAGTGCAAGGTGAGCACGGGGATAAGTGTCTCTTAGGCTGAGGTCTCCCGGAGGAACAAACCAGAAAGGGTTTCACTTGAATTGGATTAGACGACTTTGCAGTCTTTGCAGTCCTCTTTGCATGATTTTACAAGTCCCCAGGGCAAGAAGCCAGGAGTGGTTGCTAAGACTTTCAGAACAGATGTCTCTGCTCTTCACTGAGAGACTGTGGGCACTGTCCTGGCTGAAGACAGGGGCAGTCAGACAAAAACAAAAAGAGAAAAAGCAGCAGGACTGGGGGGTGGGGGTGGCAGGCGGAGCCTGACTCTCACAGGAGAGAGATGTTCTCCTGTTGAACATACACAATTTCACAGGGACTTCCCTGTGGCTCAGTGGGTAAGACTCTGTGCTCCCAATGCAGGGGCCCAGGTTCCATCCCTTGTCAGGAAACTAGATCCCACATGCATGCCACAACGAAGATCCTCAGTGCCACAACCAAGACCGGGAACAGCCTAAATAAATAAATACAATCTCACAGGACAGCAGCAGCAGAAAAATCAAGATGAAACAAGACCATTCCAAGATCATGTCTACACACAGGCAAAACATGAACCGAACATCATCCAAATCACAAAAATGATGAAACATCCTCCCTCCTGACTAATATGAGTGACTATTCCCCCTCCCTTTTTTTAAACCAATGACAGCTTTAGCCTCCCTCTAGTCTGCCCTCTTTCTAGATAAGATTCACTAAGATAACAATCACAGGATTATCCCCAGTTCATGACAGTATGCAATAAAGTAAATCCCTGCTTCCCTAACCCTTCTCTCAGATCACCTAACATAAGTCCAAATCCTACACCAGACCCCTCAAACACTGTCTTCCTGAGACACCCATGGTCCCCCATTGTGTGAGCTCCCAAGAGGCAACAATCAATAAACCCAACTTGTTCAACTACAGGGGTGTTTTGAGAGGTCTTTGGCTAGAGGCCATTGATAATGGCAAACTGTCCTCCCAAAGAGGATAAGTCCTTCACGCTCTTTCAAGCACTGAGCTACTCCTACCTTTTTCTATTCTTACTACTAAAATGAACAGGCAGCCAGATATTTCTGCAAAGACACTGCATTCCCAAGGCCCATCTACCTGGATCTCCCTGGCCTTTCCTTGAGAGTTTAGGGGGAAATGGAGGCTGCTCATTTTTATCACACCTAGAATAGTGACTTTTTGTTTTTTTTAAAGTCACTCAGTCATGTCCGACTCTTTGCAACCCATAGACTGTGGACTCTAGACTCCATGGAATTCTCCAGGCCAGAATACTGGAGTGGGTAGTCTTTCCCTTCTCCAGGGTATCTTCCCAAACCAGGGATCAAACCCAGGTCTCCCACATTGCAGGCAGATTCTTTACCAGTTGAGCCACAAGGGAATCCCAGGACAGTGCCTGGCAATGTTCAAATAAATGTTCAATAAAGTATGTTGAGAAAAGGAATGAATTTGAATCACTCAAACAGCTAGTTTTCTCTGAACCCTTGAAGATCTAGGCTGTCTCAGATACTTTCATAGGAATGAATAATTTCTAAAGAATAAGCAGTGATGCTTGTCCTTCCAAACATCTTGGTAGCATGTGTGGTGCCGTAGAGACTCTGTCCCTCCAGATCCATCTGTCTTCCTGTTCTGTATCCCAGATTATGACCTCTATGAAATGTACTAGCTGGGTTCCCTGGCCCTGTGATTTCTGGTCATGTGCAGCCAGTGAGACTAGAAGACCAGAGGGCAGGAGAGAGTGTTTGGGCAACTGTTCTCCTTCACTGCCTCCTGATGAGAACACAGTGACTGCCTGCATTCCTCTACCAAAGGCACTTCATCAGGCAGCCATCTCCTAAAGCTCTTTCAGGGTCCCAGTACCAACTTCCATCCCCTGCCCCTTCAGACTGGGGTGGATCCCCACTGACGCTAGTCCTGAGTATTTCATCATCCAAATCCTATCTATACCTTTATAAATAACCTCTTCACTAAACTTTCTAAGCTACCCCGTTTGTTCCCTCTCTTTCCTGCTGAGATGAATCTAATTGATACAGGTGGCTTCAGCAGACCCCCAGTCATACCAATTTGACCTTGTTCAGAGGCTCAGTGAGGGCGTGAGGATGCAGGTGTCCTCTCCATGGCTGCTTGTATATGGGTGCCAGGGCAACCAGAAAAGACTCTTGAGAGTCCCTTGGACAGCAAGGAGATCAAGTCAGTCAATTCTAAAGCAAATCAACCCTGAATATTTGTTGGAAGGGCTGATGCTGAAACTGAAGCTCCAATACTCTGGCCACCTGATAGGAAAAGCTGACTCACTGGAAAAGACCCTGACACTGGGAAAGATTGAGGGCAGGAGAAGAGGAAGACAGAGGATGAGACAGTTGGATGGCATCATCGATGCAATGGACATGAATTTGAGCAAACTCTGGGAGATGGTGAAGGACAGGGAAGCCTGGTGTGCTGCAGTCCATGGGGCTACAATGAGTCAGACTCAACTGAGCAACTGATGAATAACAATCTTAGGAAATAGAGAAGACCCTGTAATTCCCAATCCAGCAGGCTCCATCACTGGCTTGGAGGACCCAATAATCAAGGAGCAGAGAGAGGGAAATAAGAATGCGGACTTTTCTTCAGAACCTAGGATTGCAGCAGCTGTGTTTTTCAAACCCCAAACCAGAGCAATGGCCTGATCAGAAGGGTACTTGTGGGGACAGTGGAAGAAGATGTACAGAGCAGGACCCCTCCGGGGAAACCTGGCTCCTTTCTCACCTGTGGTGGCCAGTAGATGCTGTGGACTACTGGAAATCTCTTTCTTCACGTTGCGCAGGGTCACGATGTACTTGGTTCCAGGCAGCAAACCAAGGATCTCGTAGCTGTGCTGCTCCTTGGGCACTCTGACCTGCTTCACGGAGAGCTCCTTCCCCAGTGGGTAGTAGCTGAGGAGGTAGTGGTCCACCCGGCTGGTGGGCTCCCAGCTGACCAGCAGGGAATCCTCTGTGCTCTTGAGCAGCTGCAGTCCCTGGGGGGCAACCACTGCACAGAGGACAGGAACGGGGGTGGGGACAGTGAGGGAACAGGGGTGGGGATCCAGAGCCAAAACGTATTCCTTGAGCACCTACTTTGTATTGGGTTGGCCAAATCACAGTGTATGGAAAAACCCGAGTGAACTTTTTGGCCAATCCACTGCTTAATGCTATGATGGTGGGTGGGGAGGATATACAACCTATGTAAGGCACCACGGTGGACCCCCCCAGAAGTTATTATCTGGTTAGGAGTTAATATTGACCCCCCCCCCCCATGTCTCCAGTGATGCTCCAAGTCTCACTTCAAAACTGTCCAACCTATGCCTTTAACAGAAGTTAACATTAATCTTTACATGGTCCAGAGATGAGAAAGCAAGCTACAAAAAAAGAGAGAGAGAGAGAGAACCAGCTGGGACCAAGATGGTGAATCTGACCTCCAACAGACCCTGAGTCTCACTCTACCCTGATTTTCTATAGTGGCATATTAAATGACATGCCTACCAGCAGCATTGACTGGGACATTAGGAGTCAAAAAAATGATGAAAAGAGAGTGGCACCCCACTCCTTTGAAAAAGCACTGCTCCTTCTCAGGTAGTCTAATGCACACACCTCCCCAGCATTAAACTTATTCCTCTTTCCTTTGTTTTTACTTTTTAAAATTAAATCTCTCTTGCTAGCTGGGCCAGTTGATCTGTGCACTTCTTCCACCACTGAATAAAGCTTGTGCTGTAGGGATCTCAGCTTTTTGTTATTGGCAGCTAGAACCGCAACCCTCCCCCAGCCAGGCACAGAGCCTCAGTGGGGCCAGGGCCTGAGCAGGGTCTACAAGACTTCATTCAGTAGCACCTACACACACACACACACACACACACAAGATCACCTAAGACTACTGGTCCTCAAACCAGTGGTATCAGCATCACCTTGGAACTTGTTAGAAATGCAAGTTCTTAGGGCCCTACCTCAGACCTGCTGAATCAGAACCTCTGAGAGGGACCCAGGAATCTGTATTTTCACATGCTCTCCAGGGGATTCTGGTGTAGGCTAAATAAAGGTGGGGTGCCCTACTTAGGACAAAATGTACACGGATGCTTAAAGGGTGCCTGGACCATGGGGGCCGGGTCAGAGAGAGGCAGGCCCAGGCGCATCTCCGCTCTCACCTTGGGCACAGTCGAGGCCGGTGAAGCCCTCCTCGCAGTAACACTCGCCCGTGTCGCAGAAGCCGTGGCCGCTGCAGTCGCCGGGGCAGCGCCGCTCGCTGCAGTCCTCCGACATGAAGTCCTCGTGGCACTGGCAGACGCCGTGCACGCATGTGCCGTGCCCGCTGCAGTTCTCGGGGCAGGCGGGGTAGGCGCAGTCGGCGCCCACGTAGGGCGGCTCGCACACGCAGCTGCCGTCCACGCAGCGCCCGTGGCCGCTGCAGGCGCCGGGGCAGGCGAGCCGCTCGCAGTCGGCGCCCTCCCAGCCATGCTCGCAGTGGCAGCTGCATGTGTCCAGGGAGAAGATCCCGTGGCCACTGCAGTGGCGGCTCAGACCTGCCCGAGAGGGAGGGGAACAGTCAGCGGAGGCTGGAGGGCTTGTGAATGGGGACTCTCCATCCCTGAGGACCGTGAGAGCTGACGATTTCAGGATTCTGCAAGACTCCTTCTGTAGAGGAGGGTAGGGTCTATAGGGAAGACTAGGAGCCTGCCCTTTCCACCGTGGGCCAGACTCGAACCTGCGAAATCTATACTTTATTCCTGAAAAGTCACAGGGACCACCCTAACCTTTCCCTTTCCATCCCAAGCGCTCCTGTGACTTCACTTGGTTCCCCCACCACTTCCCCGTAAATGATGCTAATTATTTAGTACCTTTCTATGAAAGCGCCTTAAATGCTCCAACCTGGGTATCAGTGGGCCAGCTTATACTAAGGGGCAGAGCTCCTGGGGTAGGAGGAGAGAGTTAGGCTGAGTGGGAATTTGTCTTGATTGGAGGAGGTCGACCTAGCAAGTCTGAGTCCTTAGGAAATGAGCTGAAGTTGAAGCCTGAAAGGTGGACCTGCAGAAGCTATAAAACAGCCCAGTCTCATTTTGGGGATAACAGATGGGAGAAGGGTTAACCAGGCTCCCTTCTCTAATCCCAGACAGCAAGAGGCAGTTGGAGGATGGGCCAGTCCTCCTGGTCTGCTCACCAGCCCCAGCTCCTGATTCGCAGAATACCCTCTTTCCTTCCTAAAAATGTTTGACGTTCAGGCTGCTCAGGGGCAGTTTCATGCTCTTTAATTGCCATTTTATTCCCTCGCAGCGTCCTCCGTGTCTAGTTCTGCGTCTGGCCTATAGGAGGCGCTCTTAATGGTAGCAATTTCTTCTAGCATTAAAATGTATGCCAAAGTATCACCGGTTATTATTCTTTGGATAATAATAATGGGCAGTTTATGTTGAAAAAAAAATGTGGTGATGGAGGTGCTCACTATTTGTAAAGTCAAATCGTAGTACTTTATTACTAACAAAAGAATTAACAGTCTGCTGAATAATGGGCCAAAAATCTTCTGTACATCATCTCTAGTTCTCAGAACTTAGATTAGCTGATAGAATTATCCTCAATGGACAGTGAGGAAACTTAAGAAATTTGCCCAAAGTCACACACTAAAGAATGGCAGAACTGAGATTTGTACCCAATCCTGTCTAGCTCCAAGCCACCGACCTTCTTTCCTCTCCAACCTGTCGCTTTCTCTTATAAAGCGAAGGAGAGATTGGATCTGCAGATAAAACTGCGCCCAGAAGCATTCTCTTCTGAAAGCACTGACCCAAGAGTCCAGGCTCACTTTAAGAGTTGCTGGTCCCTCCCTGCTCAGGCTTGAAGATAACCCCTAGAGCTAGCACCAGTGATGACATCCCCCTTAGAGAAAACCCAGAGTGAGAGGCAGGGTGCTCACGGGCCTGGTAGAACACCTGAAGGTGCTCATTCAGTGTTTATTGAATGGATACCAGGTAGTGTGCTCACCAGCTGCTCCCAGGCAGCAGCGCTGGGCGCTGCACCGCTCCTTGACCTCCGCCATCTCCTCCTCCAACTTCTTCACCCGGGCCAGGAGGTCCTGCACGCTGCCTGCCAGCTCACAGTCCTTCTGTGGCGTCTGCAGGCGAATGTTGTGCCTGAAGACAATATTCTGTTCCTCGATCTCCTCTGGGGCCAGGAGCGAGGTCCCATCACCACGAAGGGGCTGGGGGTCAGCCTCCACCTGGACCAAGGTGGACTTGGGCACGTCGATCTTGTAGGTGTGGCTGACAGTGACCTGTTGCTCCTTCTCGCTGCATCCAGAAGACTCGAGAGTGGCTGGGGCTGAGGCCGCCAAGAGCACAGAGCCCAACAGGAGCCCCAGGGGGAAGCAGAACCTCCCCTGGAGACCCATCCTTGGGGAGACGGGGAACCGATGCTCCTGGAAGCCTGCATTCAGAAGAACATGCAAAAGAAAGCCAGGGATATCTGCTGATGGAAATTGGCTTTTTTTAATGGTTTCTAAGGGTCCACAGGAAGCTGAGAAACCCGCAGAAAGATTTCCTCCTCCATCTCCTGAGGGCTCAAATTAGATTTTTTGTTGTTGTTGTTCCTTCTTCACACATTGCACATTCCTGTCTCCTGCTTTGCTGACACTGTTCCTACTCCCTGGGAGGCCCTCCTCTTCATTTCTAATTCTGTATTTCATCTGCACTTTAATAATAACAAGAACGACTTCTTGTAGTCAGAGCATACTTTGTGCCAAGCTTTGCTCGCCCGAATCCATCCTGACAATACTAACAATTGTAGCTGTACGTGGAGCACAAGTTGTGTGCCAGGCACTGTTCTAAACATTCTACATTTATTATCATTCAATCATCACAACGACTCTTCATGGAATATATGGTTATCCCCATTTTAGAGATAGGGAAACTGAGGCATAGCTACCTCAAATGACTTGCCCACAGGCACACATGGCTGAGAGTGGCAGAATGTGAACCCGAGAAATCTGACACCAGGGTCTGTTCTGATACCATGACATCATGCTGCCTCGTGAAGATGAGGAGGCAGAGGCTCATGGAATAGAGTGTGTTGACCTGGGTACCATGGCCAGAAAGGGCAGAACCTGTTCTCAGCCCCCCAGGCCAGTGTCCCACTCACCATCTCTGCCCACAAACGAGCAAAAGAGCAGAATTTCTAATCAAAAATAACTTCTCCACAAAGTCTTCTCTCACACCCCCTCCCTCACCTCAGCTGGAAATTAGCTCTCCTTCTGCTGAGCATTCAGAGCAGTATATGGGTCCCTCTGAGCATCTCTTAGCAGTGATTCTTGTCTTGTAATTACTCTTGGATGCAACTTGTGTCCACACAAGACCATAAGCCTTTTAAGGTCAGGACCCAAAGCCAAGTCCTCTCGGGGACCACCCCCAAGACAGGAGCACAGAGCCCCGCATGCTGAGGGTTTCAGTCAGCCTCCAACTCCTCTGGTGCTCAGGTGGTTAGTAAGTCAGGCCACCTGGACCAGAGCTAGCTGTTATGTTCCACCACCTCTGCCGCCCACAGACGGTGCAGACTTCTAGCACCATCTGTACTCAGGAGGACCCCATCTCTCCTGGGGCCCCTGGCCCCCATCTGGGATAGCACATTCTTGATCACTAACAAGCTGAGTTAGGGCGGATGCCAGGGACCTGGTTTGCACCTCACGTTGACTTGCAGGTACTGTCACCAACCAGTATATCTCTCAGTCAAGCTGTCATCCAGAAACCAGTCTGCAGAGCTGCCTCCTGACAATGGACTCTTGTGACCAACTCGAGAGTCACAGGCATTTGTACTAGAGACTGGAGAAGTCAGGAAGCCTAGTCCTTTCCCTGGCTGTGTCCCAGGCAAGCTCAGGGTCTCCCTGTCTGTGTGAGGCAGCTCCTATGTACTGAAAGGACAAATGGGGCAGGTCCTAGGTGTCTATCCCTGCGAGTTGAGTTCAGTTCAGTCGCTCAGTCACATCTGACTCTTTGCGACCCTATGGACTGCAACATGCCAGGCTTCCCTGTCCATCACCAACTGAGCTTTAGCCTCCTCAGTTGTCAGGTGGGAATAGCAGTGGCTCTTGACTGCATTGTGTGTGGAAGGCGCTCAGCACCATGCCAGGCACATGTGTGCATGCTCAGTCACGTCAGCTGTGTCTGACTCTTCGTGACCCTGCTGAGACAGCCAATTCCTAGGTAGGCTGATAAGAATTCTGGGGGTCCCCAAGGAGGAGAAAGGGGTCTGGAGTTCTCAAGGAGGAGAAAAGGACAAACTTTTTCTTTAAGCGCAGAACTGATGATTGCACAACAAAACAACTCATCTTGCTCAAGGATATGTTTTCCTTAAATTCTGTATATAACAATGTATCCTACTTGAGGACATGTGTCTCCTTCTTGAGAACCTTCTGGCAAATCCTGTCATCTTAAAATGTATATTGTGGGAGTGGGTCTAGTAAGACCTTTACAAGCTTGAGGCATTCTTTTGATTTATTGTAATAACCAATTAAAAAGTATATAACTCACTTGCTAAGACTCGCAAGTGGGGCACTCTCCATCCCCCTTCTGAGGTCTATGTCAGCTTTCTCCGCCCCTTTTATACTTTAATAAAACTCTGCTATACAAAAGCTCTTGAGTGAGCAAACCTGGTCCCTGGTCCCGAAGCTAAATCTTCTTCAGAGATCATGAATCCAACATCATTCACCATAAGCTCTCACATGTTACCTCTTTGCTACACTCACTCCACCTTGGCTTTCTATTAATATTATCCAAAGCATGTATTATTAATGATAGTAATAGCACACCTCTACTCAGCACTTACTACATTCCAGGAACTGGACCCAACAGCTTGCAGAGATAATGGAATGGTCAGTAAGACATTTCTTGTCATCAACTGATTTAGACAGTTGGTTAATAAGTCCCCACACATTTTAGAGAAAGCTGTTCTTCTGGAGGGTTTCTGGGGATGGGGAATTTGGGGTGAATAAGAGGTGAATACAGTGCCTGCCCCTTGCCTGGGGAATTCAGAGATGGGAGTTTGCCTGGAACAGGCTGCATAGCAGACACTGGAGGGAAGCACAGTTGGAGGGCTTGCACCCCAGAGTTTGGAGAGACAAGGTATATAAGTCCTTCCATAGGTGAAGTTCATGCCACAAAAAATGATGCAGCGGGGGCCAGAGTTGAGATGCACCCTGCCCCAGCTCACTCCAGGGGGCGAACTACCAGAGGAGGTGCTCAGAGGGTAGAATGGGGATGGTCTAAAGAAAAGAGGGGGCAGATGGAACCAGCTCTGGGAGAAGCTGCCTTAACAAGGCGTCTGATAACCAGAGGGAACTATAACAGCCCTTGCTTAACGAAATGCCTTTTCCCTTCTCTTCTGACCCCCCACCCTGCCTCAGTGAGCAATGTGCCAGCTGGAGAGGGGGAGATGCAAGAAGGAAAGCAACTTACCAGGCCAACCATGACCCCCCCCCGCCCCCACCCACTCACTCATCTTTGGATTCCAACATCACCCCAAACTGAGTGAAAAGAAAAGATGCAGCCTGGGTGGGAGACCGAGACTCTGACATGGGAATGGACCTGCCTTGACAAAACGAGCTCTCTTCCAACCCCCAAAGTGACCAGCAGAGCCCTGGAATCTGCTGGAGAGCTTTGTCAGAAGATGGAGAAGGTGAGGAGCACCGGTAGACTGACTTGGAAGGTAGGTGTAGGATAAAAATGACCATATTTCACCGTTACTGTCTTCCAAAGTTCAGTTGCATGATAGATCAGTCACACACACATTCTCTGCTTACTTCCCTAGGATGAGGCTCACAGGCAACAAGCAATGTGCCCCTGACTGTGCAAGGAGACTGCAAGATCATAGATTGGAACCCAGGTGCAGTGTCCACTAACTGAGCCACTAACTCCTGGGCACTCTGCCATCACCAGTTAACCACACAGATGGATCTGAAAAAGCACTTTCTAGGTACGGGCTGCACACAAGTTTCCACTGTCAAATCTCCGCTTCGCGGGCAACAACAGAGCTAAAAAGGCAGGCTTCAGACCTCTCTGCCCACTGCTGTTATCCAATGCCCCGCCCCCACCCCCAGCCCATGGCTTGCTATTCTCCAAAATATAAATGGAGTGCAGATGGTTTTCTGAAGTTCTGAACAAATGCAAAGCAATCCATGGACTCGTCATAAACCATAGCGGACTGAGCATAGGCCAGTCTCACGGTGTTTGTCTTTGAAGCCTGGAATAGAAGAAACCCCAGAAGCCCTTGTAGGAGTGTTCACTGTCACCCATCCCTCTGAGTTGTAGCAAGATGTCCTTGCTAATTACAGCCTCTTGGATGCCACACATTGAGGTCAGATTTTCCTAGCAGGGGTATTTCTCGAAAGATGATGAGAATAGGGGAGTCCTCAACCTAGCTCTTCTGTCAAGGGTAATGGGTGGGAGATGCCTTCTGGCTCTCTCTCCCACACGTGGCAGGAGGCTTAGGGGAAGAAAGGGATGACTTCACCCACTGTTTTATGAACGGTGACCACAGACAGAGCTCTGTGAGGATGGGGAGGAGACAGGGAGGGCAGTACACGTCACCCAGAAAAATGCAGGGCAAGTTTCTGAATGGGGATGATTATCCTGTTGAGGAACAGTTTTCCGTGGAGAGAAGAGTAACTGCCATAGGAATATATTGGCAAAGGGTATAGGAGCGCCGGGAAAACGCGCACAGGAAACCAGGCGTCCTGGAAAATCAGTTTCATTGATTGACGTGCGTGCAGCGCATGCTAAGTCGCTTCAGTCATGTCCAACTCTTTGCAAATCTATGGACTGTAGCCCACCAGGCTCCTCTGTCCACGGGGATTCTCCAGGCAAGAATACTGGAGTGAGTGGCTCCGGGGGAAATGTTTCCCAACCCAAGGATCGAACCCAAGTCTCTTGCATCTCCTGCGTTGGCAGGCAGGTTTGTTACCACTAGTGCCACCTGGGAAGCCCCTCATTGACTGAACCTTTATTTAATTCTGACTTCAGTAGGGGCAGTGGGTGATGGGGAGAAATAGGAGCAGTGTGCTTTAAAACTCAGGACAAATGCTGCCTCCTATTGCTGTTCTGAGAAAGGCTCTTTGAGGTGTATCCTGCTGACCATGAACTGGATGGATGGTCCCCCTAGTTCGGCCCTGAGGCTGAGCTGATGTCACTGGGCTCTACATTTATGCTTTATTTCATTCTCTTTTGGCAGGCACATCTACCCCTGTGGCTTTCATTTCCAACTGAACACTGAGAGCTCCCCAATCTGTACGTGAGTTCCTAGCCCAGACATGCCTGCAAGGTCAGGGATGACAGTGGCCATGACTGTGTTAAACCTCTCCATACTCACAGCCTTATAGCACAGTCCTGGCCAAAGTAATATTTT